TCACGTGACTTCTTGTGCGACGAGAAATGATGAAAAATAATATGCTCCTTAATAGCATTTGTTCCTATAATGACTTGTCAGGTAAAACCGTGACATCACCCCCTTCTCAGGGTTCATCGTCCCGATGAGCCAAAGCCTCTGGCGCCTCTTATTGTTCGTTTTGCGAGCGAACTGTCTGCCTCTGAAATAATTCCTGGTGCGTATCGTTCGCATATGAACTGGGCAATCCGATCGCCTGTCTTGACCTCGAATGGTTCGCTGGTTGTGTTTACCAGCAGAACCTTGATCTCCCCTGTGTAGTCCGGGTCTACTACCCCTGCTGCGACATCAATTCCTTTGAGGGCTAACCCACTCCGGGGGGCTACTCGAATGTATGTCCATTTTGGGGGGTCAACCGCCAACCCGGTGCCGACGAGCATTCTGGACTGTGGAGGGATGTTTAAGTCTTGGACGGATTTGACATCCCATCCTACAGCTTCATGAGATCCCTTGTAGGGGGCTCGGGCGTTTGGATGAAGGCGGAAGAAAAACATGAACTCATCAGGGTGGTCAGACAGGGCAATTTTGTGCGCTTTGCGCGTTCGCGGCTTAGCTCTTGGAGCGTCTGGGTGTGTCTTATGGAATTCCTCTACTTTGTCTTTGACATTCGTGAGGTTTTCCAGTGGTTCCCAAGTGTTATCGCTGTGGTCATAGTCTAACCACTTAACGAGGTACTGGGTTTTGTTATACCTAACTCTTGAATCCAGAATGTCTTCTACATCCCATTCTTCTTCTCCGTCGATGATGACTGGAGGGTTAGGGGGAGGTATGCGTCCTGGAATCGAGTCTTGATGGAACATGATTAGCTTTGAAGCGTGAAACACAGGATGTATTTTCATGTCTGCTGGTAGCTGCAGTTTGAAGGATACTGTCCCGATCTTTTCGAGGATCTTGAATGGTCCATAGTTTTGAGTTGCAAGCTTCTGGCTTTTGACCTTTACATGGAGATCTTTTCCTCGAATAAGCACTTCGTCTCCTACTTTGAAAGGGACGTTCTGCTTTTTAAGATCGAAGTACCATTTCATACGTTCTGCTGCTAATGACAGAGCGGCACGTGCTTGTTCCTGTGCTTGGTCGCGGTTATGGAATAAATGTTCCAGGGATGGATGTTGTATCCCGTCCAATACATCGGGTGCCATGCGGGGATGTCGGCCATGCTCTATGAAGAACGGTGATAAACCTGTCGATTCTGAAGCTTGGTTGTTGTATGCGAATTCCGCCGTGGGCAATAATGTGGCCCAATCGGTTTGTCGGTAGTTGCAGTACATACGCAAGTATTGCTCCAAAATCTGATTGACCCGTTCGGTTTGTCCGTCTGTTTCAGGGTGATAAGCTGTAGACATTGTCGATTTAATGTGAAGTTTCTGACAAAACTCCTGGAATAGTTTGGCTGAGAACTGAGTGCCTCGATCAGATATGATCTGCCTAGGAATTCCATGAAGTTTGAATACTTCATTGTAGAAAATCGACGCTACTTGAGATGCTGTCACCGTGTCATCTACTGCATAGTAGTGAGCATGTTTGGTAAATCGGTCGACGACTACCAGAATGGCAGTCTTCTTTTCTCCCCTATGGTCTGGGCTTGGCGGTAACTGTGTAATCAGGTCACAGGTAACCATTTCCCAAGGCCCTTGTGGTACTGGATTAGGTTGTAGCAGTCCATACGGCTTTTGCTTGCTCGTCTTGTTTCTTTGACAAGCCACACAGCCTTGGACATACTTTTTGACATCAATGGTAAGCCCTGGCCACCAATAATTCCTGCTGATCAATTCTTGCGTTTTCCATCATCCGGCGTGTCCGGCGGTGGAAATGTCATGGTGTAGCTTGATCAGCTCATTCCGCAGCGTAGAGTCCTTTGGAACGTAGACCTTTCCTCTTCTGAGCAGCAATCCATGCTCGAAGTTCCACTCTTGAAGGTCTTTTCCGAACTCTCGCTTGCCAGTTTTTAGTAGGTGCTGGTAACCTTTAGTCATTTCGTCGTCTTTTAGTGCCGATTTCACTCTTTCTAGAAGTTTTGCATCGTCAACTTCGGAGAAATGAGTGGCTGAGATCGCGTGGATGGCAAAGTATTCGGGTCGAAGTAAAGTTTGCCCTGAATTGTCATTGCTCACCCCCTTCTCATGATCTGGCCTCCTGGACAGAGGATCGGCACGCATCATCGTCTTTCCGGGGCGGTGACGGAGAATGAAGTTAAATCTTGTAAGGTAAAGTGACCAGCGAGCTTGTCGTCTGGTCAGTGTTTGAGCTTGTCGGAAATAGGTAAGATTAAGGTGATCCAACCATATCTCAACTGGGTGCGGGTGTCCTTCAAAGTACTGCCGGTACTCTTCTAAGGCCCGAATGATGGCTAGCATCTCCTTGTCGTAGATCTCGTAATTGCGCTCATGTTCATTGAGCGATTTGGAGTAGTATGCGACAGGATGCCAAAGTTCATCGTCTCCCAACTGTTCAAGGACCGCGCCTGTGGCGAAGTCCGAGGCATCCGTTTCCAATCTAAAGGGACGGACTGCGTTGGGGAGTGCTAGAATTGGGGCGGAAGTGAATGCAGTCTTGAGGGCCTCAAATGCCTTTTGTTGAGGTTCTTCCCATTTCCATGGTGCGTCCTTACGTGTTAATAGAGTCAAGGGTCGGGTCATCGATCCGAAATCCTTGATGAATCGTCGATAGAAATTCGCCAGACCAAGGAATGCTTGTACTTGCTTTACCTTGGTGGGCACCGGCCATTTGAGCACGCCATCGACCTTTTCTGAGTCCATCTGTATTGACCCTTTTGAGATTATGAGTCCGAGAAACTTGACGAAAGTGGTCGCAAAGTGACACTTTTCTGGTTTTACGAACAGGTCATTGTCTTGGAGTCGTTGTAGGACTTCTTTGGTCAGACGGTCGTGTTCCTCCTGGTTATCCGTAAAGATGATGATGTCATCTATATAGACTGCCACCTTTCCAGTGCGAATGAGATCGCCTAAAACGTCGTTCATCATTGCCTGGAAAGTGCTAGGGGCGTTACAGAATCCGAAGTACATGACAGTGGGTTCGAATAGCCCTCTATGGGTAATGAACGCTGCCTTTTCCTCATCTCCCTTGCGAAGGCGTACATTATTGTACCCCCATCTCAGATCTAGTGTAGTGAATATACTAGCTCTTGAGAGTCCGTCGATGAGATCGTTGATTCGGGGGAGTGGGAATTTGTTCTTCTTGGTAACGCTGTTTAACGCCCTGTAGTCTTGGACTAATCTAAGGGACCCATCCTTTTTCTTGACGAAAAATACTGGAGCGGCGTAAGGGGATTTAGACGGTCGAATGTAGCCTTTGGCTTGTTCGCCGTCAATCCATTCGTCGAGCGAGTTCTTCTCTCGTAAGGACATAGGGTATACTTTTGCCGGTCTCGGGGTTGCCGCGTCTGGGACAAGATCAATTGCGTGATCGTAGGGCTTACGCGTCGGCATTCTTTCCGAGCTCTTCTTTGAGAACACATCTCCGAATTGATGAAATTCTGGAGGGATGAATTTGGACCAATATTCTTTGTCCTGTGTCTTTTCTGCCGGCTGTTCTACCAAATGCTCCTTCACCTTCTTGCTTATGCCTAGGATGTCGTGCACCATGTTACGAAGATCCTGGTCTTGCAAGTCTATCCAGTTGATGAAGCTTTCTTCCTGATCCCATCCGTCATCCATGTGTACGTCAGGGAGAATTGCTTCATCTTCGAGCCGGGGTTGCGATAGAAGGTTGACTTCTTCCTCGCATACTTTGACTCGTTGATGCCTCGTGTGTCTGCATCTTGAGAACGTGACCTCTCTGTGTTCCCAGTCAACTCGGGGGTTATGTTCTTGTAGAAATTTCATGCCAAGGATCATTGACATGCGTCCAAGGTTTGTGACGAGCAAACTCTCAGTGGACCGGTGCTCCCCGATTAAGATGCTTGTGACTACACGATGCGTAATTGCGCCACCTTTGTTGGGGCTAGCGTCTGCATTCAGGATTCGGATTTCATGGTTTAGAGGTATCATCTTAAACCCGTGCTTCTCAGCAAATCTTTGGTCGATGTAGCAGGAGAATGCTCCAGAATCCAATAGTGCCATTGTCTGGATTTCCCGTGATACGAATCTTATCGGCAATTCGATCGAATGTTTAGAAAAACCTGCGGACGCAATATATAGATGGTCGCTAGGTACATTCGTTCTCACGGTACTAATACAATTGTCCTGAAGTGTGACACCAGATTCGTCTACACTTCGTACTGAAGATCCTCTGAGAATTCGTCTATCTCGACGATTCTCGCATTGGTATCCTTGACCGTAGATGTTGATATGGCAGACTCTGTGTCTGCACCGCGCGCCTTGCCTTTACCCTTGCTGGACGGTGGGGTAGTCGTCATGGTGCTCATGCCACGAAGTGCAGCAATTGCCTGTTCCAATGCCGCAATTTGAGCTGATGAGCCCGCGCTACTTTCTTCCTCCACCTGCCGCACATTTGTCGCCTTGCCCTTCCCTTTTCCTTGCCCTTGCTTTGGGGTGGTTCGTGTCTGAAACCGCTTGCCCTTGTATTCAGGTTTGGGAGAGGGACACCGCTTTCCTCGTTCATAGGCGTGCTTTCCACAAAACAAGCATAGCTTGTTTGCCAGCCACCTGTCTTGTTCCGGGGAAAGTTCGTGTGCGATTCGTGCGCTGGTGTCCATTGCGTTAGGGTCTTTAGGAGCGGTCGCCCTGGTTCCAGTGGTTTGTCCGGTAGACTTGTTGCCCGTCATCTGTTGGAGATGTTTGATTTCGATCTCTAGGCAGAATTCCAGGTAGTCCATCCAAGTGGTTGGGATCTTGGAGGGATCTAAAGTCTCCGTTACCGACATGACCGTCTGAATATGGGTCGATCGTTGTTCCCTGATTTTGACGATTAAGTCTTCGTCGGAGTATCCTGATTCGGGGGCGTATGCCCTGAAATTCTCCGCGAAGGCAATCATCGTCTTGTGGCGGATTGCGCAGTGTGCGTCGAGCAGTGATTGTGCCGTGCGCTTGGGGTCAAGCGTCTTGTATGCCATCTCCAATTTCCGAGTGTATTCGGCCCATGTGCCGACGTCTTGTCCGGAGGCGAGCTTGATTGCGTACTCTTTCATGTATAGAGCAGCTCCGCCTTCCAGATGTGCGTTGGCTTGACGAATTTTGTCCTTATCGTCAGTGAAATGGTTATAATCGAGCCAGATGAGCAGGTTCGTGAACCAAGTTTCAAAGTTTTCTGACGACTTCCTTCCCGAATACTTGAGGGGATCGGGAAGCTTGATTCGTCGGGGCGATTGACTGGTTTGGCCGGCCGGTTGTTGAATACCTGTGGAGGGCGCATTGATGATGGCATTATTGAGTCGAGACTCCAAGCCAACAATGTAAGTAGTGGTCTTTTCCTGAGCCTCCTTCAGGGCGACCATGTTGCCGTAAAGGGCGTCCATCTGACCCTTTACTTCATCCTTGTAATCTTCGAAGTCCTTGCGGATCGCTTGGGCTTCGGCTGTCAGACTATTATTGGACTTGACGAGCCGTTCGTTGTCGGCGGAGAGGGTGCCGATCTGTGCTCTGGCCGTTTTTAACTGCTCGGTCAATTCTTCCATCCTTATTTCGATGTGAATACGAAACAGTACTTCTGCTTCCAATGAGGCCACCGTGCGCTCGTGTCGCTCATCCATCTTTTGACGTAAAGCCTCGTACGAGCTTACAACGTCTCTCATGACGAATGACCGTACTACGTTCATTACCCATTCCTTGACGTCGTTTGGAATGGTGTTGGGTGCAGCGGCATTGGCAGCTTCTTCAATGGTAGCGTAAGGGACTCCCTGCCATTCCCAAGTCTGAGGTGTGGCGAATGCTGGCAGGGTAGTGGGCGACGGGTTTCTGACTACTCCCGACGCCTTGGGTGTGCTGCTAGTATGGGGTTCATCCGCAGGGGCAGCTGGTCCTGCTTCTGATGATGTGGAAGTGGCCTGACTCCTCCAGGGGTCAGCAGGCTCACTCATTGTGTGTCCTCCGGGGAACGAAACACCTCCAAGGTTGTATTGAGACATGGGGATTGATGTCGAGGATAATGGAAAAGATGTGACGGACAATGTGAAACTTGATCCTCGGTCTCTGTCTTAGAAGGGTTCGGGGTTCTCCTCGATGAGTCCTTCTTCTTCTAACTCCTCTCGTAGAGCTTCTGCTCGGTCGTGCCAGTATTCTTGCTCTTCTTCAAAATCAGGGATGAGCCGGAATGGTGCCGAGTAGGTGGTGTAACCGTGTACTTGTACCGTGTAGTGGTAAAGCACTTGTTGCCAATTGGTGACGAGAGGTTGATAGATGAAGTATGCGGTGCAGATGACTGTGAGTTGTCCCTGCGCCGGGCGATAAAAGTCCACGATGTAGTTTTGATATATGAAGGCGATTTGATATCGAGGCATAAACTACTCGCGATGGTACAAAAGAATATTTACTGGTCCTAGTAAGGCCAGTAGCACGACTCTTTCTCAAACTTCACTATCTCCTTGCCTACACGCTCCTGTTCCTTATTGATTCCCTTGAAGGAAATCTTTCCTAGTCCTACGCAAAGCTTGATAGCGATGCGTCTATCGACGAATGTGAAGTCGTGTCCTGCCCCGATGCGATCGTTTATCACCGACAGATGTCGAAGAATTCTATCTCGACACTTCAACTGCTCCTCTGTGAACTTGGCAGCAATGTGTGGCTGCTGCAAAACCTTGTATCGCTGAATGGTAGCATATACGGTTGGCGCGATGTTCTCGGGAAGAGTTCCTTTGGGATTCTCGTGGATCCCGCGAGGATGATAGTTCTTTGAGAGCGCGAATTCGAGGACGTTGATAGCGGGGAATATATCGAAGGGATGTGCGGGGGGAATAGGGATGAGCGGGGTGAGTGCGTCTTTTGGGATTCCTTCTAGCCAGAGGCTGACCTTGCGTGCTTGTTGGCGACGCTCAGCTGTGATGCCTTGTGAGCTGGCTTGTGGAGGCTTCGCTTGGACGAGGTTCCCCTGGGTTAGGCGATGCGTGCGACGCGGATCTCGTTGGTACGGGTGGTAGCGTCCGTTGGGCGGAACGATACCGTTGTGTACTTGAGGTGCTTTGCCGGTCGGTGCAGCGCTGTTCCTTTTGAAGGAAGGAAGCGGCTTAGGCGGTATAGACGCGGAGGAAGTGTATGAGGGAAGTGGTGTGGAAAAAGCCCTGCCCTGGGCGGATGTATCTCTGGGCGAAAATGCGCGGCTACCAGTGTTAGACACTTGGTAGGGGCGTAAAAGGTCAGTCTTATTCTAATGTCACGGCACGCCGATGACAAAGATAGACAACC